ACAACTAAAGAAGATCAAGGGGATACAAGTCAGAAAGGAAGAAATCAAAATATCATTATTCACAGATGATATGACAGTATACATAAGCGACCCCCCAAAATTCTACCAGGGAATTCCTACAGCTGATAAACACCTTTACTGAAGTGGAAGGATACAAGATTGACTGGAAAAAAATCAGTAACTCTCCTATATACAAATGACAAGTGGGCTGAGAAAGAAATCAGGAAAATAACACCCTTAGCAAAAAGCCACAAATAATATAAGATATATTGGGGTAACTATAACCGAGCAAGTGAAAGGCTTGTGTGACAAAAACTTAAGTCTTCAAAGAAAGAAACTAGAGAAGATATCAGAAGATGGAAAGTTCTCCCATACTCACGGATTAGTAGAATCAACATAGTAAAAATGGCCATCCTACCAAAAGCAATCTATAGATTCAACTCAATACCCAACAAAATTCCAACACAATTCCTTACAGACTTTGAAAGGACAATACTTAAATTCATAGGGAAAATGGAAAACCAGGAGAGTTAAAAACAATTCTATACAATAAAAAAACACACACAGGTATCACCATCCTTGATTTCAAGCTGTACTACAAAGGTCTATCAATAAAAAACCTTATGTTACTGGCATAATACGGACAAATTGATTAACGGAGCCAAATTGAAGACCCACACATAAATTCACACACCTCTGAACACCTGATTGTTTATAAAGAAGCCAGAAATACACAATGGAAAAAAAGAAAGTGTATCTGACAAATGGTGCTGATCCATATCTAGCACCCTGCACAAAACTCCAGTCCAAGTGGATCAAAGGCCTCAACATAAAACTAGATACACTTAGCACTGCCCAGAGGACCAGCCTCAAGCAACTCAGGGTTTGAGGGGGAGCCATGGAGTTAGCAAATTAATCACTCGACTTTTCTATCTGAGGGAGTAAAACTTAATTCTCTGGTCCAAGAGAGGTGGGCAAAACTTAATTCTCTACAGCCGAGAAAAACACACATGTAGTGATATTTTGTTTGTAATCTAACAAATAAAGCTTGCCTGAAGATCAAAATGCAAACCTAAGCCACTAGTTAGCCACACACCTAGTTAAGAGATAGGGTTTCTCTGTGTTAGTTCTGACTGTCCTGGAACTCACAATGTAGACCAGGCTGGCCTCTAACTCACAGAGATCCTCCTGCCTCTGCCTCCCAAGTGCTAAGACTAAAGGTGTGCATCACCACCACTTCGCCTTATCAGGATTTTTTTTTAAAATGTGTGTTTATGTATTATCAGGGTTCTTAAAGTACATTTTGCCACCAAGGGTTCCAGTACTAAGTGTTGAAAACCTTTAAATATTTCCTCACTTATAACAATCTGTTTTAAACAGTAGTTCACAGCCACTGAGGGAGCTTAGCTTTCTAGAAAAGTAGAATTGTGCTGGGACTAAGAAGGACATTCAGTGTTTGGGGACCAGAAAAACCTTTAGAAGATAGCCACTGGGGTTAAAGTTGAACAGGGTTGACCAATAATGTATAAAAAATGTTACAAAGTATAGAATAAAATGGAAAATAAGTGTCAAAACGGTTTCATGAAGTCAAAACAAACAAAAATGTCCTTGGAAGAATTTAGGTTGGATTCCTGATAGCAGGATCATTCAGTAAGAAACTGAAACAACTAGTGATTGAATGATTTCATTCAAGTCTTGACTTGAGACCAAGTGAATTAAGTCAAGGAGAAGGGCAGATGAACCAGAAGAAAACAAAAGGATCAAAATTACAACTATGGGACAGTGATGTCAGGGTCCAGGTTTAGGGGACTGAGAAATTTCGAGTGAGGTTCAGAGGATTGATTGGTAATAAAGAAATAATATCAAACAAAACACTCATAACTGTAAAAAAAGTTATATAAGTCAGCTCAAATTATCACTTACCACGGGAAATAGGAATCACAGGGTATGTTTGAAATGATATAATATGTTTTTCAAGAGATAGCAGGGTTTTCTCGGGATCAAAAAACAACTCATAGACATAGCTTTTAGGAACAGCAGAAAACCACAAATGTTTAATGTCAATGTCCCTGCTTCTCTTCTATCCAATTCTGCAAGCACCGGCTTTTAGCTGAGTACAAACTGGCCCTGGCTGGAGTGCTCAGATTGGCCATGAAGTAAAGACGCTCCTTCAACCAACTTAAATACCGAGAATACAATTTCCTTTTCACCATAATCATCATGTTTTAGCCCTCCCACCCCCATTTACGACACAGTTGTTACAGGGCTCCTCAGATCACAAAACCTTGACTTTGTAGGCAAAACTTTCTTAGCAAACTGAAATGTTCTGTTCCATTTTCTCAGATGAGATCAACTGGTTTGTCAATAATCCTGGAAACACGGAAAACCCATATTCCTGAATGAGGGGAATTCATTCAAAATTCATTTTCCTCCAATTTTATTCTTGAAACAATTTATATAAATGTATGTCCCTGGACCCAATTCCTCATTTAGGGCAACCCTATCATGCTCAGTCATCAATCCCCCACGTGTCTCCATACTTCTGAGGCCTCATCAGAATCCCACTGCCTTCTGGGGTACATTTCTAAAATTCTCCTCTCCAGATCATAAAGACAACCATTCATGCTCTCTTCTAAGGTGTCTTAATACTTGTTGTCTGCTTTGAGATTGTTTTCCAAGCTCACATTTCCCCTTAGCTTCATTCCAGGGCCAGTTTTGAGAGGGATTAATCCCATCTTACTTGCTGTCCCCTTCCCCACAGTGTCTTCCATGTATCTAGTTTTGTGTGAACAGTTGTTGAGCACAAGGCTGAGCTAGCAGGCTAACCAAATGAACATGCGTACATGAAGTATGAAATAAGAATTTTCTAGAGATCATCTTTGCAAGAAGCTTTTCCTTTACTCCCCCCCAAAGTGTTCCCTACAACTAATTTTTGAAGTTTTTCTTAAGATAAGCTTCAGTGTTTGATGGTTTTGGTGTTTATTTCCTTTTAGGGGTGTTGTCAACATATGGAGATTTATCAGTGAAACTAATCTATAATTTGCACTAAGTCTTGCCACCATCCTCATCATCTTAAAGGGAGTTGTATTTTTATGGTGAACCACTTCCTTGCCTGACCCTTAATGCACGCAATACATGTATTTCATTAATCTAACTTGTCAGCACTCTTCCATACTCTGCCTGTCCCTAGCAAATTCTGAAACTGACAACAGCATCCTGCAACCAGGGGAGCAATGGAGTGCCATGGCTCCTCAGAGAGCACTTCTGTCCTTATCTTCCTTCTGTTGCTGGGATACAACATTTTGATCAAAGGCAATTTGGAAAAGAAAGAGTTGTTTCAGCTTGCACCTCCAGGTGACCGTCCATCGTGGAGGAAAGTCTGGGTAGAACTCATGCAAAAGCTGATGCAGGAGCCGTGGGGGAAAACTGCTTATTGACTCATTCCGGCCTCCGCTCATGCTCAGCCAGTTTTCTTATACAATCCAGAACCACCTTCACAGGAGTGGCATCACCCACAGCGGGATGGACCTTCCCACATCAATAAAAAAAAAGAAAAATTAAGACAAGCCAACCATGGTGGCACACACACCTTTAATCCTGGCACTTAGGAGGCAGAGGCAGGCAGATCTCTATGAGTTTGAGGCCAGTCTGGTCTACGAAACAAGTTCCAGGGCATCCAGGGTTGTTACACAGAGAAACTCTTCAGGGGGAAAGGGCGTAGGACGATTTTTCCCACAGGCGCGGCCACAGGCCAATATGATCTGGAAAATCCCTCAAGTGAGACTTCCTCTTCTCTGGTAACGGCTGGTTGAGTCAAAGTGACGGTAAAAACTGGCTGGAGCACCCTCCGTCCTGGACCTTTCCTTCTTTAAAGTCTTGGGGGACTATCTGGAGAAGTCAGATCGATCTTCAGAGGGAATTTCATGCAAGAAGTCAATTAGCTGTGCTAGAGTGAGACTTAAAAACTCTTGCAGTGATCACACGGTTCCACTGCAGCTCTCATGTGGCTTTTCTGAACACATTTTCTCATCTGAAAATAGCTTCCTTCTACCTTTTTTTTAAAATGTCCTGACCACTTAACTAATGAGTATGTTTTCATTGTTGTACCTTTTCCTAACGATATCATGTCTTCATAGATTAGCTTTATTCTAAAGGATTCATCTGTTATGGATATGGCGCTGGTTCACAGTTGGTTGTGTGTTCACCTAATGGGTATCCAATATTTGTGATAATCTCTTCCTATACCTGCCTTTCATAGGACAGTGGGTTTTTTGTTTGTTTGTTTGTTTTGCTGTTATATTTTTAAAGACGGTGTCTCTGAATTAGCCCTGGATGGCCTTGAACTCACAGATCAGAAATCCTTCTGCCCCTGCTTTACAAGTGCTGGAATTAAAGGCAAGCGCCACCCTGCTGGCCAAGGACAGTGTCCTCATAAGACTTCGTCATCGCTTTGGGACAACGGTGAAGCCTGCAGATTCTAACGACTCCAGCGGGGACTTCACAGGTTTGAGTATTTCCGCCGGAGAGATCAGGACGTTACCCCACAACCTTCTGGCGAATCTAGTGTCCGTCTCCGTCTAACAAACTGCTGTCTGTACATCTACGTGTTTGCACGGTTTTAAACCAATGCTTCGGCGAGCATCCTGATGCGATGCATCATGGAGGAAGGGTGCGCACCACTGCCAGCACTGGCTCGTCAGCCTGACGCAGTCGCGCTGAAGCCCAGGTCACCGCGTTCGCAAGGCCTGGGGGACACGCTGCATCCTGGCGCCCAAGCGCGACTGGCCGAGCCCAACTTGGGTCGCGACTCACACGCGCGGGTACCGCACGCGCGCGCGCGCCCGGACCCCGCCCCCCACTCCGTCACCACGGGCAACGGCAGGCACCGCCTCCCTCAAGTTGGCGTGGCAGGAAAAGGTGGGGCTTCCGGGTCTCGAAGCCAATGAACGCGCGGGAGCCGGCCGGTGGCACGGCCCTCGCGGTCACGTGACACGCGAAGGGCCAATGACGGGGCACAGCCCGGGGCCCACGTGCCTCCGTTCCCATTGGCAACCCGCGGCTTCTAAACAACCCGCTTTCCTCCGGGCGGGCCTCCCTCTTTCCCGTCTGGTCCGGCCACCGCCATGGTGAGTATCCGCGTCAGGAGAGGCCCGGCGGAGGGAGAGGACGACGAGCGGGGGCCGAGCCGGCCGGGCCTCGGTGGGGAAGGGAGGGGAAAGGGGGGCTGGAGTCACCCGGCCCGGCCGCGGTGAGGTCATCCTCGCTGAAGCCGCGCCCCGGCCTGGCCGCTTCGTCCTTCGCTGGGGTGAGGGATGCTCCGGCCGCCAGAGCGGGATGCAAACCGACTTTCCGAGCCCGACTCTGAATCCCCGAAGCGCCGTACGTTACGTTAGAGCCGACAGCTCCCCTCTGTGTGCGCTCGTGCCTCCAGGCTAAGAGTTCGGGCTTGGCTCGAAGCAGGTAGGACCGGGAAGAACACACCGGCTTGCTGGTGTGTAAGTGAAGCCGGGGCTGCTCAAGGGGGCTGCCGACGTCTCCCGGCAAGCGGAACCCCTGGTAAGCCCTCCTCCGGTTGTGTGCATCTGAACAGAACCAGTTCTGAGCTTAGAACTCGGCCTGCTTCTCTTGACTTCAAGAACGAGATAAGAATGCTAGTGGTACTCTTCCCCCTCCCCCCTAAAAAAAAAGTGCTTGAGGGAGATCCCAGTACAGCACAGGTTCCCTCCCGGACCCCGGGTTAGGCACAAACACCTGTTTGCACAGAGAGATCCTCTATTAATCGGGGAGGGGGGCGAAAAGTTAGCGTGGCAGAAAAACAGCAGCAAATGACGTCGCAGGTGTCATTTTTTCAGAAGAGAAGAAGGGGAGAGCTGTTAGCATGGGCTAGGATGCGGTGGTGTATTTTGATGGGGCATGTTACTTAGATGAAGGGGCTTTTGATTGGTGGACTTCTTTTTTATTTTTATTTCTTTTTGACGTTTTAAGAAATCTGTTTGTTATAAATACAATGTTCTGCCTGCATACATTACTGCACACCAGAAGAGGGCACCAGGTTCATCCTAGATGGCTGTGAGCCTCCATGTGGTTGCTAGGAATTGAACTCAGGACCTCCGGAAGAGCAGTCCAGTGCTCTTAACCTCTGAGCCGTCTCTCCAGCCCCTTGATGGCTGAACTTTAACATTTTGATATTTGGACCTTGGTAGTCAGCCTCATGAGGAGGAAGTGGTCAAATAAGGGAATAGATAGACCTTGGTGACTAGCTTTAGGTGTGTAGCCAAATGGTTTTTAGCAAGGCAGGGGGAATGGGGCGAGGCCTGCCAGAGCCATGCTCACCACACTTGAGCTGACCAGAGTCCCCTTCAGTTCTTGCTTGTGTTCTTAGTCTTTTCTGTCAATTTGACAACTAACACTTGGGACTCCGACCTAGACGATTTATTAGTAAATTGGAAGTTTATAAGTGTTGGTAAAATGACTCATCAAATAATGCCCATAAAATTAAAAAACACTTAGCAATAGGCCCACTCTCCTGTTTTTGTTTGTTTTTTATATTTTTATCACCAGATGATGGTGACACACAGCTTTAATCTTCAGTATTCCAGAGGCAGAGACAGGTGGATCTCTAAGAGTTTGAGGCCAGCCTGGTCTACAGATCAAGTTCCAGGACATCTATGGCGGTTACACAGAGAAACCATGTCTCTAAAAAGTGGGGGAGGGTTGGGTGGCAGAGTCAGAGGCAGGTAGATCTCTGAGTTCGAGGCCAGCTTGGTCTCCAGAGCAAGTTCCAAAACAGCCAGAGCTACACAAAGAAATCCAGTCTCAAAAAAATATATCCTTTAAAGATTTCATACATGCATATGCTGTATTTAAAATCATATTTACTCCTCTCCCAGCTTCATCTTGCACTTCCTGTCCTTTTTAAACCTACCTAGTATATGCTGCCTAGTATACTCACGGACACGTGGCCATCCGCTGGAGCATGGTCAACCACTGTGGCCACACTCTTAAAGGAAGCCGATACTCCACCCTCCAAAAGTCATCAGCTAGGAGTGAGGTCTTAATGAATCCCTGCTGCCTCCATGCTAAGTTGTTGATTGGCCTGACTTTGTGTAAGCAACCATAGGTGTGAAGACGCTGTTTTGATATGATCCAACTGATCTGTCTCTTAGTCTTTTTGCTTCCTCTTCAGAGGTAGTTTCTGTGTCTTGGAGGAGGGGTGTGATAGAGTTAGCCCAGTGTGATAAGACTACTTATTCTCTGCACTCTCTGACCAGTGTGTGAGTGTTTGCATTAACCACCATCCATTGCACAAAGAAACTTCTATGATCAGGGCCGAGAACTGCATTTACCTGTGAAACTTCTTAATTTGGTTATTTTAAAGCAGCATTTGATTTATAACAAAGACTAGTGGGTATTTTCAAACCAAATAATTTTTTTTGTTTGTTTTTGTTTTTTGAGATAGGGTTTGTCTGTGTAGACCAGGCTGGCCTGAACTCACAGAGATCCATCTACCTCTGCCTCCCAGTGCTGGGATTAAAAGCATGCACCACCACCACCCAGCTCCAAATATAATTTTTAAGGCTATATTTGGTAAGATGACATTTCTGTGTTAGAAATCTGAAAATCAGTGTATTAAAGAATGCAGATGTTTAATTCCCTCTCATATAACAGTCATCTCTGTTAGAGAACGTTGCTTTATGTAAAGATGTTACATTTATGTTGGGGGATATTGCTTTAACTATGTAAAGGTGTGTTACACTTGTTTATGCTACATTTGTTTAACTGTGCAAAGGTGTGTTGTATTGTTTCACTTTGCCTGCCTAAGGTACCTGATTGGCCATAGAGGGATAGTCGGGGCTGGCAGGCAGAGAGACTAAGTAGGAAGAGGAATCTAGGCCTGAGAGGAGAGAAGAAAACGAGGGAGAAAGAGAGAGAGACGCCTGAGCCAGTCAGCCAGCAGCCAGCCAGGTGGACATAGAAGAAAGCAAGAAAGTAGGACATACAGAATGTAAGGTTAAAAGCCATGAGGTAAAACGCAGAGGAAGAGAAACAGGCTAAATTAAGTTGTACGAGCTAGTAGGACAACCAACCATAAGATAATATGAAGTTGCCGTATCATGATTTGAGAGCTGGCTTGTGGTTCAAAAGAAAGCCTGCTACAGTCTCTCATTTAGTTTAGCGGCTCCATGAGGCAACGAGCGAGGCCTTTATCTTTCTGTTCTTTCAGCCCTGGATCATAAGAGTGACTAGCATGGCTCATCCTAGTCACACCATCTAGAAAATTGGAGATGACAGAGGTTTAAGGTATACCCTATATCTTAAGCCTTTGAAATACCCCATACCTCTTTGGATTACTTCTGTTCCTGAGAAGTAGTCATGTGACTATGTTTGACTTCAAGGAAGTTCTAGCTGGGTAGGTTAGGTAAGTAGGAGGAAGAGAAGGCAACCAGATATGCATAGCAGTTACTGCAACACAGTGTCATCATATACATCTAGCGGTTCCCTCAACACAGTGTCATCATTGTTCTTTCTTTCTTTTTCTTTTTTCAAAATTTTTTGAAACAGGGTCTTTTTGTATAGCCCTGGCTGGTCTGAAGCTTACTATGTAGATCAGCCTGTCCCTAACTCAGATATCTGCCTCTGCCTCCCAGGTGCTGAGATTGAAGGTGTGTACCACCACAAACTGGCCCGGCAAAGTATCTTGCTTGTTTTCATTATTAGTTCTTTTGTCTGATCCTCAAGACTAACAGATTCTCTTCTTTTTCAGGCAGAGTTGGGCCTAAATGAGCACCATCAAAATGAGGTTATTAATTACATGCGTTTTGCTCGTTCAAAACGAGGCTTGAGACTTAAAACGGTAGATTCTTGCTTTCAAGACCTCAAGGAGAGCAGGTATCAAGAGACTTTAAGCCTTACTTCTTAAAACTGTGGGACATATAGCCGAATGACTGTGTGTAACTGGGAAATTTGGCAGTAGTAAAATGTTTCTGAAAATGTGATCACTAAAAATTAGTTCATAATTAAATTCGTAACGAATCTGAAATGTTGATAGCATTTGCCAGTGTTTTATCACATGGTGACTTCACTAAAGCCTTAGTTCTGAACACACTGCAGGCACATTTTATACTGCCACGGCTTTTATGCTCCCCAGCACAAATGCAAGCTGCCTGGAACTCTTTGTCTTTGACTATTGGATGCTTTGAATTATAATGATTTTACTATACAGATAAAAATTCTGCTCTTATGGAAACATAATGTCTTAATTACGACTAAGACAATATTTTCTTATCATACTTCAGCATGTAAGAATCAAATTAGTGCCAGGCGTTGGTGGCGCACGCCTTTAGTCCCAGCACTCGGGAGGCAGAGGCAGGCAGATCTCTGTGAGCTCGAGGCCAGCCTGGTCTACAGAGCGAGTTCCAGAACAGCCTCCAAAACAATACAGAGAAACCCTGTCTCGAAAAACCAAAAAAAAAAAAAAAAAAAAAAAAAAAGAATCAAATTAGTTTGTCTCTGGAGTCTTTGATTTTAAAAATTGTTATTTGAATACTTATTTGGCAGGGGAGATACCATGATGGTGAAGGTGGTTTTCCCAGGGCAAGGCTTATCCATTGTACTCTGGATATGCTGACCCCTACAATTTCCCCAAATGCAGGAAACTCGACTGCATAATTTGTGGTAGTGGGGGGGCTGTGTTTGAGCTCTCCCCTGGCCAGGGAGAGAGGGTGGGGATATGGATTGTTATTTGAGTTGTTTAGTTTCATTAACAAACCATAAAGTGAATTTTGGTTTGGGATTAAGATAGAATTTCCAAACATTTCTGAAATGGCCATAAAATAAATAAATATTTTGTACTATGCATTTATTTATATATAGTCTATTAAAGAATATAGAAAACACTAATATTTAAATAGAGTATAAAATTATGTTTGTTAAAATGGCTATATTCTAGTTACACGATGGTAAAGAATTACACATTAAATACTATTTGGTGTAATATACTACTAAAAGTGTTTGCTATTAATTTGAGCATAATTTTGCTAAGACTAAATGTAACTGACTCTTGACTGATTTTTGTCTGTTTGGAAGAGAGGAAAAAGACAAAAGTGAGCCAAGAGTCTGAGGATGAGATTCTGAAGGGACAACGCTGGGAGAGACAAGACAGTTCTGTTACTATGGCAATGTCATTGAGAGTAGGAGGTGTGCACAGGGTGTGTTAAGGGCTTCAACTCTTGGTCATGTTGCTGAAATAGTTGGGCTTAGTCACCCACAGTGGAACCACAGGCAAGTCTCTTCCACCCTGCAGCTTGTGTTCATTTAGGGGACTGAACATGAAGGCTCATCCCCTGAAGTTCCTTTCCAACCCAGGTATCTCCAATGAGAGTAGTTTTCAATGCTGCTATTGATAGGCACTAATTTTTGTGTATCATAGTGGTACCTTAAGACATTAGATTTTATTTTATTTTTTGTGTCTCTGAACTGCTAAGAAAATTATTATACAACTGTAGTTTATGTCTTATAGACATTTGCTAATGTTTAAATGATTCACACTATTACCAAAATGCTAGAGAAGTGACAGAAAATGGAGATGCTATATGGTCTAGGTGACTTTAAGTTTCTAAATGTGATAAGACTAACTTAGAGAAGTCTAAAGTAGAAAATATCATTGAAAAGTCAAAAGACTAGATGAATGTTTAGGGCTGTTTCTCAGCATGTAGTTATATTTTTAAATGAACACATTTGAATAATTATCCACAATCTAATCATTTTAATAAATCTCTCCCAGAGTTTTTCCTGTAATCTTTGATTCTTTAAATGTCATCATGTGGGTTTCTAGACTTTGTTGTATTTTGTAAGTTGCTTCTGTGATTAGCTAGCCATTGGAGTCGCACTGTTTTCAGGTTGGTAGAGGAGACTTTCACCATGGATGAGGTCATGGAAGTCCTGAATGGGTTGCAAGCTGTGGTACACAGTGAGGTGGAGTCTGAGCTCATCAATACAGCCCTCACCAATGTGTTACTCCTGCGGCAGCTGTTCTCACAAGCTGAGAAGTGGTACCTAAAGCTACAGACAGACATCTCTGAACTTGAAAACAGGTAAAATTTGTACATGTAGCTGATATTTAGAGACCCAAGCATGATCTTCAAAGTTAGCAAATAACTTTTCTAGTGCTTTCCTTGGGCTGGAGTGTGAGACAATGTGGGTAGGATGGTAGTAAAACACAGTCACTAGATGATTCCTTGAGTCATCTTAAAGATACTCTGTTTCCACCGTTCTTAGGTACTAAAAAAGCATTTGAGCTACATGAATCTGGTTTTCAATCTATTTAAAATAATAATTCCTCACAGCATCTTTGGTAGTATAATTAGTATTACAGTAGTCTTGATACACATATCTGCTAAGAAATAAAGATTGTAACTGTTGAAAATGTACTGGAGTATCATTTCCATTTATTCAGACTATAGCACTGCAAATTTATTTCTAGATAACTGCATTTGAAGTCATACACTTACCTTAGGAAATGTAAAACTTCAAAGCCTTTTATAGTTCACAATATTGAAAAGCTCATAAATTCAAAACCTCTAGTAAGATCAACGAAGTTGAAGCTTTTCCTGAGAAATAGCATGCTAGTTGGACACCATGGTTCACACCTTTAATTCCCACACTTGAGAGGCAGAGGCAGGCAGTCTCTGAGTTCAAGACTTCTAAGGCTGTAGAGAAAGACCCTGTCTCAAAAAAAGAAATATGCCAGAATTCAAGAAGGACTCACTGCCAAGCCCTGAATATTGCTCTCGAAACAATCTCTCCTCAAGTGGAAAATGATGAACAAATGCTAAGGACAGTCCCCAAGCAAGGATGGAAACTCATTTGGCTTCTGCAAATGTCAATGGCTGGTGAGAAAATGCTGAATGCTAATGTTTGAAGAAGATAGAGGAATGATCTCTAAGCAAGACTATAGCCAGCATATCTGTCGTGGTAGATCATCAGGGGCTTGTTCACACCATCTGTATTTTTATGGAATATGTCTGTATTCTTGCTCAGTAGATGCTGTGGACTAATTTCATATCCATGGCAACTCTATTATGAATCAGACTCCTTTCTTAGGTAGCAGTGAATATAATGTAATAAAGAAATCATGCTGCACCTCAGAAATACAGAGAAATATGATTGTCATTCATGTGTGTATTGACATTGCTGTTTATGTCTTACTGCATACATCATATACTAACCCAAGTACAAAGTACTAAGAGCCATAGATGATTCAAATTTGTTTACAAGGGTGTGAGCTTCCCAAACATTTGTGATTAAATACCAGTTTTATACAATCTTTTGCTCTTATGAGTATGTGATAGGTTGGTTCTTGTGATTTCTTTTAATTCTTTTGTGTGCTAGAAGTTTATCAATGAATATTCTCTTAAAATTGCTTTTATTCTCCAGAGAATTATTAGAACAAGTTGCTGAATTTGAGAAGGCAGAATTTACATCTTCAAACAAAAAGGTAATGTTTATTATTTCTAATCTGTATTTATTTTTGCATGTGATTATGCATGTTTGTGTATACATGGATGCACATGTGTACAGCTGCATGTGCACTTGTTTGTGCTTGCATATGGAGAGCAGACACTGTTGTAGTGCCTTCTTTGGTTGCTTTCTACTTTATTTACTGAAGCAGACTTTTACTAAACTTAAAGTTCACCAATTTATCAGCTAGTCAGCTTTCCCTAGGAACCTCTTGTCTCTGCCTACTGAGCTCAGAGATTACAGGTAGGTCTCCATGGTACAGAGAATCCAAACTTAAATCCATTGAGGCATTTCCTTAGCTTCCCATATTTCTTAATAACTGGTCTCTAAAATCCTCAAGATACAACTAGTGGAGGTGAAAGTGAGGCCCTTAAAGGAAAAGCATTCAATTCAGTTTTCAGTTGCTACTCACATTTGCAAACCAAAGATGAAAAGTTTAGAAGTAACTGAAAAACTGACGTGTCCCCGCCCCACCCCACCCCTGCAAATCCAGTCAGAATCCCAGTCCTTATGAACTCTTCATTCAACTGATGCACATATACCTTATGGTGGTCAGACCTGTAGTTAGTTATATCCTGACTCTGCTTGTTAACTGTGTACTATAGGCAGGTTATCCAAGACAGCAGGTACAAACAGCCTGGTTGTCTTTCTAAACTATTATATGCTGTGGTATCACTTATTAAATATACCATAAGTCATAAATAGTCCCTCCTAGATAGCTAGACACTACTGAGATGAATCCATGTATAGACACACAGGAATCATTTTCTAGTAACTCTCTGGAATGTATTCTAAGAATTTTTTGGGTCAGAGGGCTACAAAGATACCCAAATATTTGCGCTAAGTTATTATTCATCTATAGTTCCTCAGCCATTACAACCTCATGGTATAAGGTTCATGCAGAAGTTATTTTCAGCTACCCCAGATTAAAAATTTCAGCCCTAGAGACTAGATATTTTTATCAAGTCTGGTTATGAGCACCTTGTCTTCCTCCTTTCTATCTTTATTAATAAAAAGGTACAGGGAGGTTGGGTTTCTTTGGTGGGTGTTATTTGTTTCTGTTTTTTTTGTTTTTTGTTTTTTGTGTGTGGTTTTTTTTTTTTTTTTTTTTTTGGTTTTACGAGACAGGGTTTCTCTGTATTGTTTTGGAGGCTCTCGGTCCAGCCTGGCCTCGAACTCACAGAGATCCGCCTGCCTCTGCCTCCCGAGTGCTCCCGAGTGGGATTAAAGGCGTGCGCCACCACCGCCCGGCTGTTTTTGTTTTTTTTTTTAAGACAGGGTTCCTCTGTGTAACAGCCCTGGCTGTCCTGGAACTCACTCTATAGACCAGGCTGGCCTCAGACTCACAGAGATCCTCCTGTTCTGCATCTTGAGTGCTGGGATTAAAGGCATATATCACAACACCTGGCTGAGTTTCATTTTTATCTCTGTCATATATCGGGCTTCATATGGCACATCATCAGCACTAGACATAACAGAATGAACCCAACAAGAATCATATCTGTGGAGCTGAAGTCCTGGTGGATTGTTTATAGATTGTCTTCCACTTAGAAAGTGCAAATGTTTAATGATTCTTGCTTTACTCTATGGTAATTTTAGATTGGTTTCTTCTTTTTGTTACAGTCCATCATAGATATCACAAAGCCTAAACTTGTTCCAATTAATGAAGGTGGAACAACAGAACTGCTAAACAAGGTAATAATCTCATCATCTTAAGAAATGGGAAAACCTTGGTTCTGCCCCCTTCCACCCCAACTCCCTGAGCAGTGCTAGGGTGAAGGAAACAGCCTGGCAGTTTTATTGGATGGAACCCAGTAACCAGAAGAGGGCATGCTTACTTTGTAGAGTCTGAAGTGACTGATAGATCTTTTGACAGTAAAGTGTAGGGCATGGAATTTTGGACTATGTTTTTCTGGTATGCATTTGAAATTTTTGATTCACAAAAATGTTTTTTAAATGCTTTTACAAGTCATCAGCATAAAAATAAAAATTTCTCAACTCCCATATTCTTGGCATTACACATGTCAGACTTTGTTATACTTAAAAAAGCAATACAGTACCTCGTACACTCTCAAAACTGTTGTCATTTCATTGGGAAGTAGGAACTAACATTTCCAGAAGCAGAGATGAGAGAACTAAAGGGTTCTGTGGGTGGCATAGCTCTGTGTGGATGGGAGGAGTTTGAATGAGGTGGCCTCCAAGCTGGATCTTAAAGATGAAGACAGGTTAAGTTGAAAGGGACTTGTTGTAAGGGAGCAGAATGGCTACTGGCCAGATACAGACAGAAGTTGTCATGACTTAGAATAACAGTGTATGGTTCTCTGAGCAGTCCAACACATACATTGGAGTAAAATGCAAACTCAGACTGGTCAGGTGGGTGCATCTCATTTCAAAACTGCATGAGAATATAAAGGTGTTTGGCCTCCCCTCAGAGCTATGCAGAAGCTGGAATACTTGGTACTAAATTGATGAAGGTAGTATGTTTTCAGGGTTAAGTGGCAACAGGGCAGCCAAGAGCAGGCCCAAGTTGCAGAATCAGAAAGCGAGGGGAGAGAGGAGAATGCTGAAAACAACAGGAGAAAAGGTGTTTCTGAGAGAAGAGCAACTGTGTGTCTTAGAGCTAACCTTGACTCACAGCTCTGGGGTTGGCACAGACTTTGTGAGAATAGCATTTTACTCCTGACCAAGGCATTTGGATTTTTGAGCCATCACATAATTTTGATTATTTTTTAAGTGAAACAAGCAGGGGTCATTTCAAGTGCTAAACATATTTTGGTTAAAATAATAAAATTTGGGGCCTGGAGAAAGGGCCCAGTAGTTAGGAGCACTTTCTCCTCTTGTGAAGAACCCAAGCTCAGTTCCAAACACCTACATGGTAACTCAGCCATCTGTAACTCCATTTCCAGGGTATCTGATGCCCTCATCTGATCTACACTGGCACACACATTGTGTATATACATACATGTAAGCAAAACACTCATGGACATAAAATAAAAATAAATCATTAAAATAATATTTGAATTTACTCACAAAGGAAATTTTAAGACTTCAACAAGAGAATGAGAAATTAAAGTCAAGGCTGAAGACCATTGAAATACAGGTAACTGAGAAATCCTTCAATACAATTATTGAAGAATTAACCTAGAGAGTAAAAGTTGAGTGTGTCCTGTTACATTTGACTATAGGCTACAAATGCTTTGGATGAGAAGTCAAAATTGGAAAGAACACTTCAGAATTTACGACTTAATCAAGGAAATCAACAGGTAAAACAATTTTATCTATTTTTCCCACATCTTCTAAAAAAAGAAAATTAAAAACTTTAGTCATAATCACTGTTCCTCATGCTATGTGTACCCTGCCATTCTCTCTGCTGAATGCTGTTGCTGTCTTGCATTGATATGTCCTGGGTCAGATACTGATTGACAGCTCACAGGACTAGTATACACTAGAGATTTCAATGACAAGCAAGATGTTTTAAAATTTATTATTACTAATTTCTTTTCTCCTGTCCCTCCTATACCCAATTGGAATTGAGGGGGGGGAAAGGAAGCAGAGGAAAATTTACATTTGAGTTTTATTATTCTGAATGTTACTTGAGTTTTCCATGGATGAGATTACAGTGAGAGGAATTTATTGGTTACAGGCTTCATTTGTACCCAGCATGCTGTGGGATACAGCACCATCCAGAGTGATGCTCTGCAAGCCTCCCTGAGAATCATAACTGAGCACTGCTCTGCCTGCTGGGAGTCCACTAGTACACCATTACTCTCCTGCACTAGTACACTATTGCTCTCCTGTGTTCTCCCACTAAGTGTTATTTCATATGAGCAAGGCCATGTGAGTTTTCAGTGTAGAATAGTCTTTTCTATGGCTGTCATTGTAATGTCTGCTAAACAGTCTTCAAATCTGCCTCTGTGTGTTTTCCTTTTTTCATTTCTAACATAATTTTTTTCATTTTATGGAATGAGTATTGTGCGTAGAGCCTATACATGCTAGGCCAGCACTCCCATACTGAGCTGTATGGGACTTCTATGAAAAAATTCAAACATGCAAAAATGCAGAGTAGTATATATGAACCCCAATGAACCCATTACTCACCTTTACAATCATCAAGCATGGCCAGTCTGATTTCATTCCTACTTCTACTTATTGACATGATATTTCTTATATGGATAAGGAAAAGTGTGTGTGTGTGTGTGTGAGAGAGAGAGAGAGAGAGAGAGAGAGAGAGAGAGAGAGAGAGAGAGAGAGAGAGAGGAGAGAATGTTCCAGAACACCTTTATAACTTTTTAAAAGTTAAGCATTTACAAATATTTTTGGGTGATAAATTTATTTAAAAACCATTTGAGACATGTTCACTATTTGACTCAAAAGCAAAATGGATACATGCTTTTACTAGTTGAAAGGTCTTAAAGACAAAATATTTTAAAATTCAAGTATTGTTTCATTTTATTGAGGGCACTGCCTCATCCTCATATCAGGTAATTGTAGGTCATTTTCTGTCGCATCAATGAAGATCCTTTTTTCTATCAAAAGTTTTATGCAGTGGAAAGCAAGATTCAGATGTAAGATTGGTGCTACAGTTGTCAAATTCTGCAGAAGTGAATTAACAGAAAAAACATAAAACCTTGTGAATTTAGGGACCTTTATAATCAGTAATCATTAGTAATGTTTTTTAATAATAATCTTTTATTAATGTGACTAATTTTTGCACCTATTTGTTCTTTTTTGTTTTGTTTTGTTTTGTTTTGAGATAGGGTTTCTCTGTATTGTTTTGGAGGCTGTCCTGGAACTCGCTCTGTAGACCAGGCTGTCCTCGAACACACAGAGATCCGCCTGCCTCTGCCTCCCGAGTGCCACCAACACCTGGCTATTTGTTCTTTTGAAAGAAAAATCTCACTGTTTCCAGCTTGTCTTGGAACTTGCTATGTGTAGCCCTGGCTAGCCCACCTATATATCAATTTGAAGAATTCAAAATCTTTACTATGTTCTCCTCCTTATCCAAATTTTTTTTTGTTTTTAATTGAAAAATAATCCAGACAATATATTTTGATTGTTTCTCTTCCCCCAATTCCTCCTAACTCCACCCCACTCACTCGTCTTTGTCTCTCTTTCAAAACAAAAAGAAACATACACAGCAAAAAACAAAACAAAACAAAACTCCCACAAAACACAAAAAGGAAAATCAAGTAAAAAAAGCAAAAGAACAATAAGAGCAAAAAAAAAAAAAGCCAAAATGAAACAAAAAGTCCACATTGGGCCTGCTCTGAAGTGAGTGAGAATGAGGGGGGGCTCCATTAGAGAAAATTGATTTCCCCTTTGCCCTCCTTGGTTCTAGGTCAGACCCCATGTCCACTTCCTCCTCTCAGTGCTGGGACTCTGCCTGGCTTGAACCTATACAGGTCTTATATATGATGCCACAATCTCTGTGAATTGATATGTGTGACAAGTCTGTTGTGTCTGGAAGACACTTTCCTTGGAGTCATTCCTCCCTTCTGGCTTATACAGTTTGTCTTCCTACTCTTCCACATAGCTCTCTGAGCTGTGAGGGGAGGGTTTTGATGAAAACATTTAGGACAGAGGGGTCCAAAGTCTCTCTCTTCGCACGTTGCCCAATTGTGGGTCTCCGTGTTAATTCCCATCTACTGCAAGAAGCTTCCTTCTCTGATGTGGGCTGAGCAAAGCACTGATCTATAGGTATAGCAGATCTATGCTATGTTCCTTTAGCAGACTAATACTAGTCAGTTTTCCCTAGGCCTGTGATCTAGCTAGTCATGGGTTCTTAGCCACTTTAGCAGGGTCTGGTTAGGTTCCATCTCATGGAGTAGACCTTATGTCTAATCAAGAAGTGGTTGATTATTCCTGTAATCAACAATTATGTGACTATTGCTCCTATATGTCTTGCATCCAGGTCACTGTTATAGGTCACAGGGTTTATACCTGGTCATACTGATGATTATTTTTCTCCTCCAGTAGGGTGCAAAGTACCTTTCAATACTATGAGTGTTAGTCAGTAGAGGAGAAGCTTCTAGTTAGGCACCATCCCAACTTCTCCATGTTCAATGTCTTAAGTAAGTGTTGTCGTCATCAATAGGGCCCTGCCGTTAGATTCTGGAGAGTAATTAAGAGCTTGAGCAATAGCCTATTGTGCTTGGGTTTCCAAGGGGCCGCTTTAGCTGACAACTGAACAAGATGTAACTTATTCCTGGCACTGAGGTTTTACTTGGTAGCATAAGATGTCTAGTGTTGTGGGATATTTGTACATTGTGTGAAGATGTATTTCTGTGACTGGTGTAATAAAGAACTGAATGGTCAATAAATGGCTAGGCATTAAGAGGTTAGGCAGGACTTCTGGGGACACAGAGGACTCTGGGAAGAAAGGCAGGGTGTCCAGCAAGACATGGAGAGGAAACAGGAGTGGCAAGATAGAAGAGAGTTAATGCCACATGGCCAAATGTAGATTAATATAAATGGGTTAATTTAAGTTGTAAGAGCTAGATGTGGCAAGCCTAAAGTAAAGGCCTAGCTTTTGTAATTAATAAGTCTTCCATGTTGTTATTTGTGAGCTGATGGCCAACAAAAAAGTATGCTAAAGTCTAGTTGGCGCACTATCTCCCCTATTATTTGCTGACTCCCTTTAGATTCCTTTTATGTATATATATATATTTCAGAAAGCTTCTACAGTGGTAGTTTTCCATATGTTTTTAAATGGCCTTTAGTGTTAGTGTTCCCTCCTTTACTCTTCTCTCCCACATCTCTCCCTGTTTAATCCTCCTACCCCAGTTTCCCTTTTTCTCTCCATAATACTATATTCTACTTCCCTTCTTTGGGAGATGCTCACTTCCCTTATAGTCCTATACTAGGTATCTAACCTCTGATTATTCTTACTGTAGCACCAATACCAACAGTTTAAAAGCTAACATCCACATAGGAGAAAAAACATACAGTGTTTGTCTTTTGGGGTCTAGATTACTTTATTCTGGGTGTTTTCTTTCTAGTTTCACCCATTTACCTGCTTCATTTCATAATTTTTCTTATAGCTGAATAATAATCCATTATGTACATGTACCATATTTCCTTATCCATTCATCGACTGATAGATATGTAGGCTTTTTCCTGTTTCTGGCTATTATGAATAGAGCAACAATGAGCATTGAAAAGCAAGTATTTTTGTAGTAGCATGAAGACTACCTTGGGTATATGCCTAAGAGTTGTAACAGATATTGGGGTTCAGACTTCAAGATGAAGATCAGAAAAATCAAAGCAGCCGGCCACTAACTCTTACCTTTACCTCAGACTGAAAGGGCTATCCTCTCCTCACTGTGGCTGGAGAATAAATCTCTCCACTAAAATTCAGACTGCAGTCCTGTCTTCACCAATTCTCAGACTGCAATCCCAGACTGCTGCCTCTTCCTTTTATACTTCTCAAATCCTGGGAATAAAATGTATGGTCCCAAGTGCTGAGATCACCTTGGTGTGAGCTGTTTCTCTTTAGGACTGGATCAGTTCCGTGTAGCTCGGTGTGGCCTTGAACTAACAGAGATCCAATTGCTTGTCCCTGCCTCCTGGGATTAAAGGTGTGTGCCATTACTACCTGATCTCTATCTAGGTAGTATGGCTGCTGGGATTAAAGTTATGTATCAGCATTGCCTGGCTCTATGACTTGTGGCTAGCTTTACTTTCTGTACCCTCAGGCAAACTTTAATAAATCATAAGTAATATATCACAACCAAGAGTGGTATAACTAGATCTTGAGGTAGATCTATTTCTGACTTCCTGAAGAACCAACACACTGATTTCCATTTTGCCTGTACAAATTCATACTCCCCCCAGCAATAAATAAGTGTTTCCACATCTTTGCCATCATGTGCTGTCATTTGTTTTATTGGTTTTGGCCATTCTAACTGGTAAGATGAAATCTGCAAGTAATTTTGATTTGTATTTCTCTGATGGCTAAGCATGTTGGACATTTTTTACATGTTCCTCAGTTACTTGTGTTTCATCTTTTGAGAACTTTCTTAGTTATGTGCCTCATTTCTTTTAAATGCATTAGTTGTTTTCTTGCAGTTTAGTTGTTTTTGTTTTTAGTTCTTTATATATTTTGTATACTAATTCTCTATTGGTGCATAATTAATAAAAAACTTTTTCCCATTCTGTAGCCTGTCATTTTGCACAAATGATGGTGTTCTTTGCTGTATAGAAGCTTTTCAGTTTTATGAGGTCCCATTTGTTGATTGTTGGTCTTAGTGCCTGTGCAATCAGTGTCCTGTTCAGAAAGTCTCTTGTGCCAGTGAGTCCAAGCCTATTCCCTGCTTACTCTTCTGTCAGATTCAGTGTATCTGCCCTTATGTTGAGTCCCTTGATCCGTTTGGGTTGAGTTTTGTGCAGGGTGATAAATATAGTTCTATTTGCATTCTTCTACATGCAGCCATCCAGTTTGACCTGTAAGCAAATGTTAGTGCCAGGTTTTGTCACCAAAATGTGAGTGAGTGTTACAGCTCTGGAGCTGCAAAGGAGTCCTGCCTACAGGGAAGCCAGGCTGTCTAGGGCCGCTTCTCTGGAGGTGGTGCTACAACAAGACAGCTCAGCCCTGGACAGAAAGGTGTCCTGTCAGGTTCAAACTGTGTTTCTTTCAGTGGCTTTGATTCCAGAGACAGAGTGTGTTTCTTTGGCACTGGTTTCAAAGTCAGGGTGTTTTTCTTTGGTTCTGGGTTCAAGGATAAAGTATTTTCTTCACTGGCTCAAGTTTCAGATTCTGGGTGTGTTTCTTTCACTAGCTGTGGGTTCAGAGACAGGGTACTCAGGAATTGGTTGGTCTCCTGCTCAGGGTGCTCAGGGATTGGTTGGTCTCCTGCTCAGTGATTGGTTGGTTTTGTGTTTGAGTTGGTCAGGGCCAAAATGGGTTTCTTTGGCTGGCCCTTTTACCCTGCATGACCAGCACCATTTGTTGATGAGGCTGTATTTTTTTTTCTGTTGTGTATTTTTGACACACCAGAAAATCAGGGGTCCATAGATGTATGAACTTATGTCTGGGTCTTCAATTTGATTCCACCGAGGAATATGTTGCCACTCCATGCTATTTTTATTATTATAGCTCTAATAAAACTTGGAATCTGAGATGGTGATACCTCTAGCAATTCTTTTGTTATTCAAGATTGTTTTAGCTATCGTGCCTGTGTGTGTGTGTGTGTATGTGTGTTTCCATAAGAAATTTTAAGATTCTTTTTGCATTTTCTGTAAAGAACTATGATGGAATTTTAATGGGGATTGCACTGAATCTGTAGATTGCTTTGGTAGAGTGGCCATTTTCACTGTTAGTCCTAGCAATCCATGACTATAGGACATCTTTCCATCTTCTGGTGTCTGCTTATTCAATCAATATTTTTATTCAATGTCTTAAAGTGTGTTTGTTTTTTTCACTTGCGGGGGCAGAGTTATCTCAAGATATTTTATGAGACTGTTGTAAAAGGTACTGTTTCCCTGATTTCTTTCTTGGTTGGTTATCATTTGTTTATAAGAAAGGCTACTGGATTTTGTGCTAATTTTGTATCCTGCTACTTTGCAAGAAAAAAAAAGTTTATTAGCTGTAAAATTTTCCTCGTGAAGTTTAAGGTTATTTATATAGGAAATCATATCATCTGCAAATAAATATATTTTTTAGTTCTTCCCTCCCTATTTATATCCCTTTGCTCTTCCTCAGTTGTCTTATGTTCTAGCTAAGGCTTAAGTTCTATATTTTTGAATAGGTATATTTGAAAGAGTGGACATCTTTGCCTTGTTCCTGATTTTAATGGAAATACTTTTAGTTTCTCTCCATTTAGGTTGGTGTTGGCTGTGGGCTTGCTGTAAAATGTTTTTATTATGTTGAGATATGTTCCTTGTATGCCTAGTTTTGCTTAAGACTTTTATCATGAAGGGGTGTTGGATTTTGTCAAAGGTCTTTTTCTTCATCTAATGAGATGATCATGTGGTTTTTTTAATCATTCAGTCTGTTTATGTGGTAGATTATATTTCTTGATTTACAAAAGTTAAACCATCCCTGTATCTCTGGAATGAAGCCAATGTGATCATGGTGGATAACCTTTGATATGTTTATGGATTGAGTTTACAAATATTTTACTGAGAACTTTTGCAGCTATGTTCATAAGTGATATTGATCTATAATTTTCTTTTTTGGGGGGGGTGGTATCACAGTAATAGCAGCTTTCCGAAAAGAATTAGGAAATGTTCCTTAGTTTCTATTTTTGCAGATTAGTTTGAGGAATAGTGCATTAATTCTTCTTTGAAAGTCTGGTTTTTGTACTGAATCTGTCTGACCCTGGCTGTTTTGGTTGGGAACACACACACACACACACACACACACACACACACACACACACACACACACACACACAAACACCACACCACACCACACCACACCACACCACACCACACCACACCACACCACACAGAGTTCCTCTGTGTAGCCCTGGCTGTCTTGGAATTAGCTCTGTAAACCAGGCTGGCCTAGAACTCACCAAGATCTGCCTGCCTCTACCTCCAGAGTGCTGGGATTAAAGATGAGTCTCACCACCGCCCAGCTTCGTTTCACTAGGGGTAATGGGTCTATTTAAATTGCATATTTGATTTTGATTTAACATTGGTAGATTGTGTATGTCAAGAAATTCATCCACCTATTTTAGGTTTGGTGGAATACTGATTTTTAAAGTATGTCCTTATGATTCTCTGAATTTCCTTGGTATCAGTTGTAATGTTACCACTTTCACCTCAAATTTTATTAATTTGGAATTTTCTCTCTTGTCTTTTAGTTAATTTGGCTAAGGATTTGTCAGTTTTTGTGAGTTTCTCAAAGAACCAACTCTTTTTATTATAATGCTTTGTTTTGTTTCTATTCCTTGATTTTAGCTCTGACTTTATTTCTTGCCATCAATAATTCTTTTAGTATTATTTTTGTTGTTTAAATGTTTCAATACGTTACTAATATGAGATATTTCCAGTTTTTGTGTTTTGTTTTTTTTTTTTTTGATGTAGGCATTTAGTACTATGAACTTGCCAGTAGAACTGCCTTAATTGTATTCCATAGGTTTGAGTATGTTATGTTTTCATTTCATTCAATTTTAAAGTTTTTACTTTCCTTCTTGTTTTCTGTCTTGACATATTTTCATTCAGTAATGAGTTGTGCAGTTTCCGTGAGTTTGTATACTTTCTGCTGTTTCTGCTGTTGTTGATATTCAGCTTTAATCCATGGTGGTCAGATAGGATGCAGGGTGTTATTTTAATTTTCTTATATCTGTTGAGACTTGTTTTGTGTCTGAATATGTCATCAATTTTGAAAAAAGTCCATGAGAAGAAAGTATATTCTTTTGTGTTTCAGTAGATGTCTACTAGGTACATTTTATTTGTGATATAATTTAACTCCAGAATTTCTCTGTTTATTTTTGGGCAAGAGTGGACTAAGTGAGGTATTGAAGTCATCCACTATCACTAATATGTATTTTGGCTGTAATTGTGGGGTTTTTTTTGCTTTGTTTTGTTTTTTTATGAACTGGAATGCCCTTGTGTGAGCAGCTATGAGGGTTCTGGGACCCAGGGCCTCTACAAGAGCAGTCAGTGTTCTTTTTTGTTTGTTTGTTTGTTTGTTTGTTTGTTTGTTTTATGAGACAGGGTTTCTCTGTATTGTTTTGGAGGCTGTCGGTCCAGCCTGGCCTTGAACTCACAGAGATCCGCCTGTGTCTGCCTGCCGAGTGCTGGGATTAAAGGCGTGCGCCACCACCACCCGGCTAAGAGCAGTCAGTGTTCTTAACTGCTGAGCCATCTATTCAGCCTGAGTTTCTTCTTTTACTCTATACCTATTATTGCAGATTTGGTCTTTTCATAGTGTCCCATATTTCCTGTATATTTTTGTGCATGGATTTTTTTTAAAGATTTAACATTTTCTTTGAGCTATCCATTTCTTCTATCTAGTCTTCAAGAAAGTCTCTCTTCCGTGTTTTGTAAGTGGAGCTTATTTCTGAGGTTTTTAGTTTGGGTTTTCTTTAGTGGTTTTATTTCTACTTTCATTATTTCATTCAGTTGTTTGTGTTTTCACCATCTTCATTAAGACATTTGTTTGTATCCTCATTAAGGCCCTGGAACCTTTTTGTTGTGCTTCAGCTAGATTGCATTTCTCGGGTCTGATTACCACAGGGTTCCTGGCTTCTGGAGTAGACATATTGTATTGGCTGTTCATGTTTGTGTTTTTGTGCTGAGATCTAGGCATCTGGAGTTAAGGTGTTTGAAGTGTTTCTTGGTGTAAATATCTAGTGTGTCTTTGTTGGGTGGGTGTTGCATTTTTTGTTTGCTGTTGCTCACTCTGGGTCCTAGGCAAGTGGAGTAGGCAGAGAGTAACACAAAGTAATGGAGATGGACTAGGAAGAAAGGCTGAAAAGGACAGTATGAAAGAACTAGAAAGACTGGGTCTACACCAAAAGGCAGAATCCCAAGAAATGTAGGTGTAGCGGAAGACACATACAAGCAGGCTGCTACAGAACAAAGAATAATTTTAGAGAGCTTGGAATGGAGACAAAAAAGAAGTGTTGTTTTGTTTGCTTTTTAATTTGGCTTTTCAGAATGATTTGTCAATGGGCTAGAATATAGCTCAGTTAACTAAATTCTTGCTTAGCGAGCACAAAGCCCTGTATTTGATCTCTGGTACCATGTAAACCAGGCATGTTGGTGCATGCCTATAATCCCAGCACTTGGGAGGTGAAACGAGAGGGTAGGTGTTTGGGGTCATCTTTAGTTACAAAGCAAGTTTTTGGCCAGCTTCATTTATAAGAAACTGTCCCCCACACCCTCCTCCAAATGATTTGACATTCCAACCCAGGTACACACAGCTTTGTCAGATTAAGATCTCACTTCTCTCTTGTTCATTTTTGACTGAAATTCTAGCATTTCGGGAATTCCTATTTTCTATATTTGGAAAGCAGTGACTACTGAATATCTGTTGTGTGTATACCAAGGCTGAGGCTGGATTGAGCCTGCTGACAACCCTGCTGTGAATGGCACTTACCCAAACGGGTGAGAAAAGCTGTGTGCACACACAACACGGCAATACTCTTTGTCTCCTTGGATATTGGATCACTATTTTACAACAGCTCTTATTTGGAATGTCAAGGGAAATTTCACTCAAGTATTTATTTTTCATAGGATTTTATAAAGACCCATGACTTGAATGACTTGGAAAACACAGTTGCAGCTCTTAAGGATGAATTTCAGAAAACGCTTAATGACAAGACAGAAAACCAAAAGTCTTTGGAGGAGAACCTAGCAGCAGCCAAACATGACCTCCTCAGAGTACAGGAGCAGCTGAGCATGGCTGAAAAGGTCAGGAGACACATGAAGGGCTGCACCTCTTCATGTCTGATTATCTAATGCATACAGTAGAGAGGAGCAAATGTGAGTAGATAAATGGGAGCCAGTTGCAGGGCCAGATCATTTTTATTCTGAGTTGTAGTCAATGTGTGTTTTGAAGAGCTGCTGCCACTCTACATTATTGCATTGCTCTCTGCTGGTTGTTCCTACAGCCTGACAGAGACCTGGATGGCCTTTTTTCTTTTTTCTTTTTTTTTTTTGAGACTTTTTTCAAAGTGTTTTATGTGGGAAATACATAGAGAGTGAATTCTTTACTTTAGGGTTTAGACAGTTTAAAAGTAAGTGTGGGGCTTGAAAGATGGCTCAGCAGTTAAAAGCATATACTGTTTTTACAGAGGACCCAAGTTTAGTCCCAACACCCACATGTGGCTCATAGTCCTCTGTAACTCCAGTTCCAGGGGACCCAGAGCCCTCCTCTAACTTCCATGGGCACCAGGCATTTGTGGTATACATACATATTTGCACATGAAACACTCATATACATAAAATAAAAAAGTAAATCTAATATTTTTCAATCATATGTATTTTTTAAAAAGGATTATGAGTGCTAGGAATGGAATCTAGGACTCTTGCATGCTAGGCAAATGTTCTGCCAGCTGTGCTACAGTCCTGGGAACTAAAATTAAAAATCCTCAAATTAAGGGCTAGAAATAAGGCTTAGTGGTTAAGGCTCTCTGAGAGGATTTGGGTTTGACTTCCAGCACCCACATCAGATGGCTTACAACTGCCTGTAATTCTGTCCTTACATGAATGTAGTTTACATAAACTCATAGTGTCATACACATGAATTAAAAAAATGAATATTTTTAAGACATTCAGATTAAAAACCCTCCTCCTTGGGTTTTTAGAACTTGAGGATTTAGAAAAATATATAATTTTTCATGAAAGTTAGTTTGTGTGTCATACAGATTCCCATGTTAGAGCATAGTGTACTTGTTACTTGCTAACACGGTATTACCTTGGAAAATAGTACTATTTTATTAGCTTCTCATTTAAAATATTTTTAAAGTTCAGATGGTTTTAATTTTATGCAAGTATGTTTTTAAGAAAATTAGCAAACAGTGTGCATTTTTATCACATTTGTTATTCTTTCCTTAACATATCACAAAGCAGGAGTTAGAGAAGAAATTTCAACAAACAGCAGCTTATCGAAACATGAAAGAGATTCTCACCAAAAAGAATGACCAAATCAAAGATCTACGGAAAAGACTGGCAAAGTAAGCTGACTAATCCTTCCTTGGGGTTCCTCTCCCCACTTACCTGCTGGTAACAATGATTCAAGCTCTTAGTAGGCCCATTGTTAGTTCACAGGGTTGCTTTTAGGCTCAGCTAGATATTTCCCCTCACCACCCTGTACTCAGTTGCCCTTAGCAGCAGATCCATTAGCAGGTAATGGCACAGAAATAGCAGCTAGCAAGGGAGCACTAGGTATTTATTCTCTGTGATGTTCTCTAGGTACTAATGTCCTTTGATGTTGGGTCATTTTTGTCAACAATGGCTTTGCATAGAAACCCAGCTGAAGCTAGCATTTTGCCTTTGTCAGAGTTTTCAGGGAAGATATCTGTAAAGTGAATTCAAGATCAGATTTGTAATGGGAGGGGGTTGGTTAATCCTTAACTCATAGTCATGTCAGCTGTTCATGATGATCTGAGGATTGTCATACTAATCTATCATGCATCTAAATGACAAATGCAGGTTGAAGACATAGACTCCAAGTCACCAACATAACACTAGTCTTGAGTATAACTGACTTCTGCTACAACAGGGATAGAAAGTGAGCAGTAATGGTATTCCTTGGCTAGTTACTGGAGGTATTTCACTTATGACAGCAACAGGAACAAAAAGATCATGACTTAATTTCTTAATTTTATCTCTAGATATGAATCTGAAGATTAAACTGAAGGTTTTGTCTAGAACCTGCTACACATGAACATATAAGTTATCTCCATCCACCTCAGGCATGTATTTTGAAGCATTTTGTCATATTCTCTCCTTTTTCTAATGTTTAGGCTTTGCATGTAATCCTAGAATTAGCATTCTTATCTTCAGTTCTCTGATTGAGAAGAGAAAAAAATGTAATATTCTTTTTTGTTGTACCAAACACCTGTCTGTCAAGTGCTCCAGAGTCTCTGTGCAAGTACAGTGAGATTTCTTCATGGTAGAAAGAGTTTAGAGTGGGAAGAAGAGCCATCCTTTTGCATTAGTAAGAAAAGCGAACCTTTTAATGTTAGATAAGCTGGTATCATCAACACTGTACAGTTCTTGAATGTAAAGATAAATAGTAAAGTTACTAAGATTTACAAATAAACCTCTTATTTTTAATAATAAGATCCTAATTAATTTGCTCTATTTGGTCATCAAAATGTATAAACTCATGGAAAATATGTCTGCTGTCTACTATAGTCAACATTTTTAATCAATTAAGGGAAAGTAAACTGCAGTGACCCATGAAGACTTAGTTAACTTTGCATCTATCATGAGTGCTGCTTATCAAAGGAGATGCATTTTTTTGCATCCTGACTTGTCACGGGTTTGTGTTATGGATGGAGAAGTCATATTCATCCTATGTTTTCACAGTGTATAAAGCAGATGGACTCAGAGTACATGCAGTCTTTAGACTTATTTCCAGAATGTCCTTTTAGCTCATATGTAAATTAGAACTTTTTCAAACTTTGACTCAACAGAAAGTCAGTGACTAGGTTCCAGGCTGGACTTTGGGTTGTGGTTTGTATATGTGTAGAGAAATGGTGTTTTCAAGAGATTTTAATATTTCTATTGGTGTGCTTTTCCTTGGCTGATCATACATAAAGTATTAGAAACAGGACATACACCTGCAGTGTAAAGAGCAGTGATGTGGTACTCAAATGAATAAAGATGGCAAGGCAGTTAAATCTCAGAAAGAAAGCATTTACCCTTCACATGTTAACTTGGAAGAAGTTTTCCCAGTTCTCAAAACAAACATATCACATCTGTGTGAACAGTCTGAGAGAGGATCTTCCAAACTCCACAAATAGGGAACTTATTCCCAGAAAAGAGTGCACTGATCTCTGTTATTTTCATTTAAACCTTTAATATTAGCTTTGAATGTACTTAGGGGTTTTGTAGGCTTTGTTAAAAATTTAAAGGAACAAATAATAGTGAGGTAATTTGTCCCTAAAAAAGCAGGGAAGGCAATCTTAAAAGATGAATGACTCTGAAAAGATAGAAAAAAATATAGTAACAAGCCAACATTTCCTACACATTTTTTGTTTGTTTGTTTGTTTTTTGTTTTTCAAGACAGGGTTTCTCTGTAGTGTTTTGGAGGCTGTCCTGGAACTCGCTCTGTAGACCAGACTGGCATCGAACTCACAGAGATCCACCTGCCTCTGCCTCCTGAGTGCTGGGATTAAAGGCATGCGCGACCAATGCCCGGCTTCATTTCCTACACATTTTTTTTCTCATTCATTTATTTGTAGTTGATCACTCATCAGTTTCTTGTAGGGCTTTCATTGAGGACTCTGGTTTCACCCTGTATTTCTTTAGCTCAACATAATTACCTCTCTAAAAGTCCATTCCATCAATTGTGGACCAGGATGTTCTGCAGAAGTCAGAAACCAGAACTTCTCACTAAATGGAAAATGTTTCTTTCAGGAATCATGTAGTTATATTCTCCCTACAATCATTTCTCAGTTTAATGCCAGAAAGAAAAGATTTGTTAAGAAATCTGTAATATATTGCTGGGTAGAAATTTATTTATTTTTGTTGGTAGTGGCTTTGAAATATTCTGTAAGATAAACAAAGAGGCTGCAGATATCAATGTGATGCTTCTTTCACTTATACCATTTACTGCTTCTGGCTTTGTCACTGCTCTGTCTTGCTAAAAACTCATACCTCTCAGCAAAATGCAGTTTTAAATGTTTATTTCACTTGGCTTCCCAGTTTTACATTTTATCTCATTTAACTGAACAAAGCCTGTTCACTCTATACGTTTTGGCCTTTTAGGAACCTAGTTCAGCCTTGAGCGAGCAGTTAGTGTACTGGTGACTGTGAAAAGTCTGAGCTGGTAAGCCATCTTGGTGAAGCTCCTGCCCAGTGTGCAACATTTCACCTGCTGTACATGAGGCGCTGGGATCAGTCCCCACATTATAAAACAAAACCAATAAAATGCATCTTTGACTTAACTTTAAAATTCAAGCCTTCAAAATTATGACACAGAAATTTTGCTAACAAAAATAAAATGGAAAGGGATTTGTTATTAATACCTTCAATTTGACAGCTAAATGTTTGTTCTTATCTTACATTTGTATGTCTGTGTTAAATAAATATTTAATCATTTGTTTATGTCTTGTAAATCTAATTATATAGAATATTTTGCTCTCTAAAATACGTAATCATATGTGATAAAGCCGATACTATCTGTTATTTCCATTTTGATAAACTGAATGAAATTCCTATAGGTCTTTACATTTTAAATGTTTGCATTTTTAATATATTAGATTGTAAAAATTTGCTATTGTTTGCCCTCTGCTTATACATAAGTGCCTGTGTTCTAAGCTTTGCCATTAGAAATGTAAGACATGACTTATCTCTGCAAACAAGTCTTTGAGGATGGCTCCATCTCAGCAAGCTAAGCCACCACCCAAAATCAAACCAGACAAAGAAATAAAAACTGTTTAGTGTTTCCTGAAAGGAAATCATAAAGAAAGGTATTGGAATGGCCCTGGTAACTTTCATACTGTCATCAGGTCAACCAGTAAAGGAGTGTCTTGCCACAGAATCACCTATTTTAGAAAGTAAATTAATGAAAACATAGTCAGAGCTGGAGAGCTTACTCATCAGTTAAAAGCACTTTTTGATCTTGCAGAGGACCCAGGTTCAATTCCCAGCACCTACTTGATGGCTCACAACCATCTGTAACTCTAGTCCCAAGGGATCTGACACCCTCTTCTGACTTCCACAAGCACCAGGCACTCATGTGTTGCTAAGACATACACGTTTATTCACTTCTGTGCATCTGTGGTTATACATGCCCTTATTAGCATGTGAATGCTTGTGTGCCTGCGTGCGTGCGTGCGTGCGTGCGTGCGTGCGTGCGTGTGTGTGTGTGTGTGTGTGTGTGTGTGTGTGTGTGTGTGTGTACACATCAGAGATTAATGTAGAGTATCTTCCACTATCATTCTCTATTTTTTGAGGCAGGCTCTATCACCTGGCCATCAGGCCTCTAGGTTTTTCTGTCTCTCCTTCTTAGCACTGGGATTATAGGTCATGCTACTGTGCCAGTGTAAAGGGGTGCTGGAGATTGGAACACAGGTTTTCATGCTTACACAGCATCTCTATCCCCATATTTTGTAATTTTTAAATGTAGCAATAAACTCATGAAGCCAACTCATTATGAAGGTTTTTGAGCACTGAAAAAGAAGTATGATCACTTGGAGCCAGTGTGGATTTTGCTAGCAAGAAAATAGGCCTGGTAACATAGGCCTCTTATCCTAGCAACTTGGGATGTTGAAGTGGGAAGAGCACAAGTTCAAGGCTTTCAAGGGCTACAGAGTGAGTTCAAGTCCAGTCTGAGCAATTTAGCAAGACACTGCCACAAAATAAAAAGTAAATAGAGAGCTAGTGATATAATTAAGTGGTGGATCATTTTGCCTAGCATGTACAAGGCCCTGGATTCACCCTCCATTACTGAAAGAAGCAAACAAAAGCAAAGAAATAAAAGAACCCAGAGAGATGACTCAGCAATTAAAAGTGCTTGCAGCTCTTTCAGAGGACCCAAATTTGCCCAGCACCCACACTAGGCAGTTCATAGTTGACTGTAGCTCCAGCTCTAGAGCATCCAGCCACCTATTCTGGCCTCTGCAGGTACCTCCACAAATGCGTTGTACATACAGACACACATGTTCGTATAAATAACAATACAATCTTTGGAGACTAGAGAGATAACTCAGCTGTTAAAAGCACTTACTCTTGCAGGAGATAAAGGTTCAGTTCCTGGAACCCATGAGGTGGCTTACAACAAACAATAACTCTAATTCCAGGAAATCTGATGCTGACTTCTGGCCTCCACGGGCACCTGCATGTACATGGTGCATATATATACACATAAAGTAAATAAATCCTTATAGGAGGGTTAAGAAATTGAGAAATATAGTAAATTTGTGGGGAGTTTGGTTTGGTTTGGTTTTTCAAGACAAGGTCTTTTCTGTGTAGCCCTGACTGTCCTGGTACTCGCTCTGTAGCCCAAGCTGTCCTTGAACTCAGAGATCCTCCACCTGTCTCTGTGTCCCAAGTGCTGGGATTAAAGGTGTGTACCACCACCACCTGGCATGGGGTGTTTTTATGTGTTTTATTTATCCTCTGTATATGTGTGGGGGATGTTTTTGTGGAAATCAGAGAACAATCTGTGGGGTTTGGTTCTCTCCACATGATTCCAGGGATCTATCTCAGGCCATCAGACTTGGCAGATGAAAGGAAGGAAGGAAGGAAGGAAGGAAGGAAGGAAGGAAGGAAGGAAGGAAGGAAGGAAGGAAGGAAGGAAGGAAGGAAGGACATGACTGGTCTGGGTTTTCGACACCAGATGAATGAAATGGTGCAGTAAAGAAACAAATAGCTGCTCCATGGGTAGAAGGTAAAGTTTACTCCAAATCACCAAGGCTGTCTCTTGGGAAAATGGGGGTGGGGAGCTAAGGGGATTAATGGATGGGATTTCCAGGGTTTTAAGGAAACAAGTATTTGGAAGGAGGGGGACCTGTAAACTGAGGTGGAGAACTTTGAAGTGTATAAAGGGTGCTTGTGAGTAGGGATTGGAGGAATTTAGAAGCTAGCTTGCACAGACCCTGATAGGCTAGTAGGCACCACAAGAATATGTTCATGGAAGAGCCCAGGGGTCCCTTTTGCCAGAGATAAGGAGGCTTCCTTTTAGCAGATGGGGATTGTTTTTCTCAAGTCCCTGAGGGGATGTTGGTTTTGTCTAAATGCCAGACTTTGGCGAAAGGTATTTCTTGGAACTAGACAGCAGCAAGCACCTGTATCTGCTGAGCCATCTCCCTGGCCCCTTGTGACTTGTAAGAGACATGTTACATCAAGATTGATCAAAGCACTTGAACAAAGTTCCCAAGATAACCTTATTGAGGAAAGCCTTAGATGATTCAGGGTTTGGGTGCAGATGGCTTATATAGGGATTCCTGCAGGAGGCAGGTGTTGAGATAGGTTAAGTTACCACACAAGTGTTGTGCCCAAGTTGCAAAGTCCCCAGAGACCACCAGGAAGAACTGCAAAAGCAAGGTTTTAATTGTATTGATTGCTCATCCAATCATGACAGGGACCCTGTCTAGCAAGCAGCCCTCAGA